CACATTAATTGCAAATTGCCAATGAAAACCTTGGAGCTTACTTAGTTTTGATAACAGAATCCATGCATGGAGTATGATAACCTGTTGGAGTAAATCTATATTAACAGGCTTCTGTGGGAGATGGATTGAGATTCATTTTTTGTAGTGTTTGCCCCGACAAATGTTCACATGAGGACAGTGGGACAGGGAAGCTATGCAATCTTGGAGGTAGGCTAGTGTTATGAGTCCACTGCCTTAACATAGACCTTTGTCATGATTAATATCAATAGCCTGTTTTATTTTTAGAATAGAATATAATTCTTTATTGGGCAAGTGTGGTTGGACACACAAGGAATTTGTCTTGGTGCAAATACTCTCAGTATACATAAAAGAAAAGATACATTCGTCAAGAGTCAAAAAGTACGACACTTAATAATAGTAATAGGGTACCATAAGCAATCAAATCATACTGGGAAACAGTCAATATAAATCGTAAGGATACAAGCGACAGTTACAGTCATACAGTTATAAGTGGGAGGGGATGAGTGATAAGGAGTGATGAGAAGATTAACAGTAATAGTAGTGCACACTTTGTAATAGTTGAACAGTGTTGAAGGAATTATTTGTTTAGCAGAGTGATGGCTTTCAGAAAAAATCTGTTCTTGTGTCTAGTTGTTCCGGTGTGCAGTGCTCTATAGCTTCGTTTTGAGGGAAGGAGTTGAAACAGTTTATGTCCAGGAAGTGAGGGGTCTGTAAATATTTTCACAGTCCTCTTATCTTTATATTGTTAAGGAAGTAACCTTGAGCAGAACTAAGAAAGCATACAATTGAGGTACCATCTGTAAAATATCCTTACCTTAAATATAAAGGTAAGGGCATTATTACAAACACTAATACCTTGATTTAAAGATAAAAATAAATTCTGACCAACAGAAGCCATTTAGTTCGTCAAAAAATGTTGAATTCTGGGATCTGACTACAACTTGCATCAATTTGTTATTTTGTCCAATTGATTCTAATTTTCATAATACTTTTTGCTTCTCTTAAAGCAATGCATTTTTCTATTCAACAGATTTACAGTGTTAAATATATCTTTTTCTGAGATATGTGAAAATTATTCAACTCACTAAGGACTAGACAAAATAAAATGCAGAATAAAGCACCATTAATCTTGTATTTATTATTAAGCCTATTCTTTGGAAACAACATTCTGTGGCTAAACTATATTCTATATCCTGTAACCTTCTGGAGAAATGTGACATAAAAGTTGTTCGTTTGTATCTTAACAGTTGTCCTAGAAAATTGCCTTTTGCAGTTAGGTTTTTCTTCACTCATCAATTTTTCAAATTGTGGGAGGAAAAGGAAGTTATTTGAAAGCTTAAATTTACCATTTGATAATTCTTTCTGCTTTTAGAAAAATCATAGCTACTGTTTTAAAATATTATCAAGTGCTTGTGACTATAAAATATTAGTGGCAGAGACCCTTGACATTAGAATTGTGATTCCTTTCCCCAACTTTCAAGTATATTATTAGTATTATAAAATTAAATGTAAACTATCTTGCCTGCAAAATACTTCACTTGCTGAGCTTGTGAATATTAATGTAATTTTTCAGAGGCAAAATTATGCGAGAATATTTTAAACAATTTTAAGAAAATATTTTTATGAAAACAGTGCTGGTCTTGCTGAAAAAATACTTTACCTCATTGCCAGCCAATTGATTATATACAGTTAAATTGGTGTTAACTCAATAACCACATAGATAAATTTTCTCCAGGAGGATCTATCTTGAACTTGGTCCTTCAGGTCTTCTATATAGTGTATCCATTGAGTCCATCCACCTTGCAGATCATCTTTTTTCTTCTCTTTCCTTTCACTTTCTCTAGCATTACAGACTTTTCCAAAATATAGAATTGCTTAAAGTATGCAAAATATGATAATTTGATCCTGGTCATTGTGCCTCAAGTGAGGAAACTCTGAGTTGATATGTTCTATGAACCATTTTCTTGGTTATTCATAGTATACTCAGACAAGTCCTCCAACACTTAAGTTTGAATGTGCTCAATATTCTTTTTGTTTCTTCAAAGTTCTTTTTTTGTTTCTGTACAGTGGTACGAGGAAAACTATTGCCTGCATGCCCTCCGAGGTTTCTTCCAATTTTGTTATTCTGTTATATTATCTGATTGTTCTAAGTATATACATAACCAGGCATCTAAAAACTTTTCCCAAGCTATTAAGTGCTAGTCTGCATCATATTTCTTGAACAGTTTTCTGAACTCTTAATAGTTGATCCTATAATGCAGATGCTATTTATCACTTCAGTGTCTTCATTTTCAAGTCTAAGGATGGTTGCTATAATATTTTGTTAAATTTATTTGCCACTATCTTACCATGGGCTACTGTTGGAAGCTTACAACAATAAAGACAGAAATGAAAAGAGTGTAAACAAAAGTAAAATAATAGAATAAAATAAACAATGAAAAGAACACGATAATACATCAATATGATAACAAAAAGATGGATGGGTGGAGAGCAGAAATCCAGGAGCAAGAGGTGGTGGTGGAATCTGTTATCAATCCAGCAGCCATCTTCAGCATGGAATTCCCCCATCTGGTTTCCAGGATAACCGGCAGAACCAGATCTTCAGACACTTGTTGAAGGACAGGAGAGAGGAGGAGATCTTACCTTTTATTAGAGATTACCTCATATTAGTTGTCATTTGTTTGGTCTTTGTATTTAATTTTGGATTAACTTCTCACTCTGCTCCTTACTAAAGCTTGCAAATCCTTTGCATTTTTCAGCTGTCAAGGTAGTGTCATTAGCATATAGTGCAGATTATTGATGTTTCTTCCTTCAATTTTAAAACCACACTCAAGTTCTTTCAATCCAATTGCCCTCAATATATACAGCATTCTCCACATATGTTGAATAAATTAGAAGAGTATACCTTGCCTCACTCATTTGCTAGTCTGGAGACAGTCTACACCACCATGTTCTGTTTATTCTATGGTCTTCCTGAGCTGTGTATATGTTTTACCATTGCCAGCTGCACACCACAGTACTAAAAAAAGAAGCTGTCACCTATTTGAAAAATGCAAAATATTAAATTCTCCTCCAACTGCAGCTAACTCACCTGTGAAATGAAATGCTGAGTGCTCCTTAGAGACTTGAATATTTTTGCAATCTACTTTTGAATATTTGGCGTAAAAATGGCTTGATATTGCATAAGAGAGACCATGACACTTAGTACACATATACTGTAACTTTCAATTTGAACAGAAATGCTTAGGTATTAAACATTAACTAGAATTAATATTTGCTCAGACTTTCTTCAATAGTCATGCAGAACTTCAATGATTATGACTTTTGGCAGAAAAAAAAATCTCTTTGACATCCAGAAAGAAAATGCTACCCTGGGTAGAATATACTCTGCTTGAAAGGCAAGTTTCAATTTTATGCAGTACTGTTTACAAAGCCATATTTCAGTCTTCTACCTACAGCAGTGATCTTTGAACTAGCAGATGTTACTGAGTTATAAAACCCTCGTCATGGTTATGGAAACTGCAGCTGCCTCACCTCTAACGTGTCTCAACAGTCTTTGTTTTCTACTGTCTCTCATGCTGTTGCCTTCATTGTGTGTACATGTGAGTGAGATGAAGCTGCCTTAAGTTGGAGCTGCCTTAAGCTGTTCTTAGCTGTAAAAATAATGTTTTTCCCCTTATCTCAACATCAGATTTGCAATGGATACAAGCAACACAATCCACCATTTTGTCAATGGAAGTCAGATTACCTCTGGGGAGCAAAGTGTGGATATGTTTGGCACCCATTGACTCCATTAGGCTGGTGCAAGCACATCATTTTGCCTCTGGTCTCTAGGCATGATCTTCCAGGCCAGTTCTGCTTTGGTTATGGAAGGGAGCCAGTTCTTTCAAACTTCCTCCTCTTGTGCCTACTTATCTCTGCACCAATCTAGTGCTTAAGAAACCTAGATCAACCTCTCTTTATTCTGGTTCACAGCACAACTGTGAACAACTTTCTGTTTTCAACTGATAAAATAATTAGGCGCTCCATGTATGCAGAACACTTGTGCAAAACCAGAATGAATTTTGACCGATGTCTAAGCCCACTTTAACTACATGTCAAAACTTTCTTCCACACTAGGTCTTCCCATGTTGAAGAGGACTGAAGTTTTATCACAGCTGGTTACCTTTGGTAGGAGGAAAAGTAAATAAACATAGAGCGTGAGTGTCAAACTCAAGGCCTGGGGGCCAGATCCGCCCCACAGGGTGCTTAGATCTGGCCTGCGGGGCTGCCCTGGAAATAGTGAAGGACCAGTTCATGGTTCCTCTGCCAGTAAAAACGCATGCGGTCTTCACGAGCCCAGTTTTCGCTGGCAGAGGGTTGCGGGAGGCCATCTAAGCTGAAAACGGAGCTCAGATCAAACACAACCCTGATGTTGCCCTCAATGAAATCGAGTTTGACACCCCTGACCTAGAGGCATCCAGCAATGTCTATCGTTAATGTACCTTTTGCATTATAGGGATAGCATTATTTGCCAGTAGGACAAGGATTATTAGTAGGGTAGCCGTATTTATTCTGGAATAGTATTACATATTACATTTATAGGCCATCCAACTCCAAGCAATCCATATATATGGTTTTCCAGGTTGGAAATCCTGACATCTGAAGTATGTAAGAGAGGTTTTCGCTAATCGACTTGATGAACAGAACAAATAATTCTATCCCTCATGTGTCCCAGTATACTTGTTACTGCAGTGCTGTGAATGAAAACCTATAGTTAAATGGGATTAGGCAGTAGCTGCAAAGAGAAATTTCAGCAATTTTTATACTTTAAAAAGATGTATTTATATAATGGACTGCATTATTTAGAAAAATAAAAATGATTGTACTTGATTAAAAAAAATATTGTTACGTGAACATTAAATGCTCAAATATTAAATGTCTACACCCTCAAAATAAATGCCAAATCACTTAGAAGTGGATAAATAAACCTCCAAAACAAGTATGCAAAACATTTTATTTAATTCAAGAAAGAACAGGAGAGTTAGCCACTTCTACTTCTTCTGGAATGCCCCAGCATTTCATTATCAGATGGTCTCCTAAAACAGCATTTGCAATAGTTAGTACAACTGGCAGATAGTGAGGTGAATACGCATTCATCATTCATCCTCATCGGACTTCAAAATGGGTATATTTGCAATTTTAATGCAAAATGGATTCTTTTCCAAGTGCATTCTCTCTTCTGATGAAGATATATTGGGAATGTAAAAATACTCGATGCAATCCAGTCTAGTACAGTGAAAAACTGATGATATATGCATATGCACTTCTTTTAGACAAGTTTTAATTAATATTTTTCTACTTCTCAGCACAGAAATCCCGAAGTATATAAGGCAAGCTTTCCCAACCTACTACCTATCACAGAATCTGGAATGCAACTTTTATCAGCTCTACCCAGAATTAATTTTGGGCACTGGTGGATGGAAGTAATGAGAATTTTAATCTAGCAATGGGCTAAGGATATTTGTGATATTTCTTTCCAAGATTAATTATTGAAGTGTGTTAATCACAATTAATTAAAAAGCAATAACAGAAAAGCTATTCCTTTGCCTTGAAATAACAGAGAGCTTGATCTTGATAATGTGTATAACAGATTTACTGATACTTATAACTAGGATTCTACAAGTGTTTCAGGTCTGTTTGTCACTACCCCAGATTTAACACAAAAGTAATAATTTCACTAAAATAGGCACAGCATTAGGTAACGTTTTCCTTTTATTTTTGAAAATAATGTGTATGTGCATGCATATTTACAAAATCTGTAGTATGGAGAAAATGCAAAAAGGGTGAAAGCTGTATAGTGGACCAGATTTTGCACCTGGATATTTATAGAGCTATGAAACAATGGGTGGGCTTAGATTAATTCACCACTGAAAAATGCTACAAGGATAGCAGATCATTACAGTTGCAATTTTAAAAATATCAGAATGTTAAGAGGATATGGCATTTCATTTAAAATTTAATAAATTATTGCTTTCAGTCATTTCTGTGCTACTTGGGGCATTGGATAACACATTTTATTTCATCCTTGCCCTGCAAGATTTAAAACCCAAGTTAAACAAAATGCTAGCCAATCTCTTTACCACTACAACCAGTCCTTTTGCCTAATATCCTATAAATATGTTTACCTTATGTAGTGCCCAGAATGTTTTATGTCAATTATTTTTTGGAGGGGTATTTAAGTAGATGTTATTTTAGCAAGGACAGACTTCAAACACAGGGTTGTTGTATGCAGAAACATGATGTTGGCTTGAAGCAATTATGTAGAGCAGTATCACTTAAAAGTTTATTCTAAGAAGGCAATATTAGACTCATTCATATGAAAGAAACCTTCATTGAAATCAGTATGGCTTTCATCAAGGTACATATGATTAAGTTTGCACTATTTATTTCTCCTCCCCTTCCCGCTATAAACTGCCTTGCAGAACGGTTAATACTAAGCTGTTTTATACATATTGAAAATGCCAATACATGTTTGAGAGACATTTTAAAAAATCTGCTGTATTCATCTGTTTTGGAATATACTGTAGTACTAGTAGTGCAAGGAATTCCGTGGTACATTATATCCTCCATTCACTTCTGTAATTCAAATATACAATAACTTACAAAAACAATCCAGGAATCAGTGCTGGTGGCTCTTACCTTTCATTTTAGAAACATTAAAAAAGCTCTGCATTACCCCTCTTATAACTTAAATACATAAGTAATCTCCACTTTTATTACTTTATAACCGTGACTTCAAATTTACATTATTTTAAGTACCATCATAACAGTTCCATGTATAATACAGATATCAGCCAAGAACCCATCAGGAAATTAAAAAAACCCACTATATATAAAAAATGCTGGAAAGACAAGAACACAGGACAGAGACTTGATACAGACTTTAGTTTTATAATCAACCACATTTTGCCCCAAATTAACAAATATGTAGCAATATTCAAGAGCAGTGCAAATATCTTTGTAGATTAGAGTAAAATTATACTACAAGAACATAAGATGGAAAATAAAAAGACAAGTACTTCAAGTACAAGGAACAAGTCTTAATGAGGTCTCTCAGTATTAATGTTCTTTAATTCTTAATTCCAATTTACTTCTTCCTCTGGAATACATTAGCCAGCATGGCACCTGAAGTGGTTAACTGGCCCATTTTATTCAGAAACTTGGTCTTGGTATCTTCACTCACAAGGCTTGCTGCAATTGACATAGAACTAGGGAGAAAGAAAAGTAAGTTGATCTATAACACCATCGATTACAATCTAAAGTAGTTGGGCAGAAAACAACCTCTGACACTTTGAAAAGAGACTTTGAAAAACTGCTCCCCAAGATAGCAGTATTAAACAGAAGATCTGATTTAGAATAGAGTAGGATAACAGAATTGGAAGGGACCTTGGAGGTCTTCTAATCCAACCCCTGCTCAAGCAGGAGACCCTATACCATTTGATACAAATGGTTGTCCAACCTCTTCTTAAAAACTTCCAGTGTCGTAACATTCACAACATTCTGGAGGCAAGTTATTCCACTGATTAATTGTTCTAACTGTCAGAAAATTTCTTCTTAGTTCTAGGTTGCTTCTCTCCTTGACTAGTTTCCCTACATTGCTTCTTGTCCTGACCTCAGGTGCTTTGGAGAATAGCTTGACTCCCTCTTCTTTGTGGCAGGCCCTGAGATATTGGAATACTGCTATCATATCTGCCCTAATCCTTCTTTTCATTAAACTAGATATGCTCATTATCTAGTTTGGTATAAGATATTTATTTATCCCAAATAAGTTTTTAAAATTGTAATCAAAATAATTTGTCATTATAATAGAATGATTGCTTCCAAACTTGAAAGATTTTTTTTTCCAAGATGCAAAACTCAGCTGCCAATTAAGGCTATATGTTGCTTCAGTAGGAAATTCAAGCCCTCTGTGGAATGATACCATTGAGTAACAAGATAGAATAAAATTCTGGAACTCAACCTGTTTTTAGTTAAAATTTATCCATAAAACTGCATTTCTGGCATGTAGTTGTAGATATTAAGAATAAGATCTGAAGAGGGAAGGGGAATGACAGATTAATTCTCAGAACAGTGTTATCAGTTGTTCCAGGATCTCTTAAGAATCATTGTTCCAGGTACCAAGAAACAAATTATTTTTCCCAACAAACTTGGATTTCCCATTATGTCCCTTGGAAATCAAACCAAAAGGCAAAAGGACTACTTCTTATTTGTTTCTTATTTTTTTTATTACTGGGATTTATACAACATTTTAATAAAGTGATGTGAATGACTGACTTTATTTTATAACTGTTTTTCAATTTTCTTCCACTATATTAGCCAATGTCTTTTCAGAAAAGAATAAAAATTACTAAATGAATACAAATGTTCTGCTTTGATAACAATGCTTTATCAATAGTGTTGCCCATATAATTTGGGCCTTGTGTAAAAATAAAAGCCTTACCCTTGTGGTTCTTGAACACTCCTATTTTCCACTTTCTGTTCACATTCTTTTATCATGGAATTTAAAATTACCTAATATGTAGCAGAAGACAAATGTTCAGAACAAAGATAAGATTTATGCCAATTCATGTTATCTAAATGGATACAATCAAACTTGAGAGGTACATTAGACTTCAATATTTTTGGTAATATCTTAAGAGTGAATGTTCTGCAACCCAAGACAGACACAACCTCCAGAGAGTAATTAGGACTGCAGAAAAAACAATTACTACCAACCTGCTTTCAATCGAGGACCTGTATACTGCATGAGTCAAAAAGAGGGATGTGAAAATATTTACAGACCCCTCACTTCCTGGACATAAACTGTTTCAACTCCTTCCATCCAAACGATGCTATAGAGCACTGCACACCAGAACAACTTGACACAAGGACAGTTTTTCCCCAAACGCCATCACTCTGCTAAACAAATCATTCCCTCAACACTATCAAACTGTTTATTAAGTCTGCATTACTATTAATCCTCCCATCCTTCCTTTCACCCATCTTCTCCCACTTATGATTATGACTGTAACTTTTTTGCTTGTATCCTAATGATTTTTATTGACTGTTTCCTAGTATGATTTGATTGCTTATTGTACCGTATGACTATTAAGTATTGTACCTTATGATTCTTGATTCTTGACAAATGTATCTTTTATGTGCACTGAGAGCATATACACCAAGACAAATTCTTTGTGTGTCCAATCACACTTGGCCAATAAAGAATTCTATTCTATTCTATTCTATTCTATTCTATTCTATTCTATTCTAT